CTCGCCTTTCTCCGTTTCTTTCCCTTGCACCTTACTCCCCTCTCGCGGATAGCATCGCCCACGGTATCAGTCGCACGGTGAAGTTTGGCAGCCAAATGACAGTATTTCAGCCGAACTTTTTCACCCCCCGCGGCACACAATGTGAAATTATGCCTATAATACACGCGCAAGCGTGCGTGCGACCATACCCGCGTGTGCGCGTCGTTAGTGTGTGGGTGTATGTGTGTTTGTGTGACTGTAAAAACGAGTATTATAGCCGTATAATCATATTTTGTGCTTTGGGGGTGAAAAAGTTGAGCCTGAAAACCAGCCATTTGCCTGAATAAAATTCACCATGCTAACCAGGTCGTAGGCGATACCATTTGGGAGAGGGGGATCACTTATTCCCGAGAGAATATAACATGATAGGATATAGATTAAAGTAGCATATAAATAGTATAAATAGACATATCAGATATATATATAGATAGAAATAGATATAATACCAGTTATTGAATGAAAAGGATTTATTGGTGTATTTATTGTTATTATGGTATTATTGGTATTTTCTTGGTTTTTCGTGATGGTTGATTCTATATGGTACATTATTACTGCTACGTACTAAGTACATGCATGGTTCCCACAAGTGTGAATTATTTTTTCAGGCTTTTCAATGACATTTCAAGTACACGTTTTTTTCAAGCACAATCTGTGACAAGTAGTTTTAGCATTTTAGAGTTATCATATATACCTTAGATTCATATATAAAGTAAAAATGGTTGTTTTACACCTTAATTCAATGAAAGCAATCCTTTCTCTATAAATTTGTTGCTAATAGTACTTGTTGACCTGGTGAAATTAAAGATCTTCTTCAGCCCCCAACCTATGAAAGACACCAATAAGGGCCATATTCTCCTTGTCCCAAATCTTTACAAATAATAACAAATAATATTAAATTTAATCCAAAATTCACAGAACAGTATCTGCTAAACCTAGTTTGTTTTCCTTTTTTTAGTCATGCATGGGTGACATAGGCAGGCATGGCTGACTACATGTATGAGAATAATTTTTTATTTATTACTCAATGTGTATTTTCCTACACACAAATTACACACAAATTGACACAATCGTGAAGCAAAATATGAACAGAGTAATAAATAAATATTAAAATGGTGAACTTATATATAGTCTAGACTCCTACACCACCTGTATGCAGGGACAAAACAAACTACTTTGGTTGAGTACATTAGTAGACAATGAAATGTAAATTTTGGATTAAATTTAATATTTTTATCGAAGACTTGGAATAGGGTCGGTCAGATAACCAGCAATGAAGATTTGTTTTTTATGTTATGTCAAAAATGTAAAATTCCAGAACATTAGACATAAAATAAGGACTTGGACCTATTTCCAAGGACTTTCATTGACAAAGGGAAAAATTAAGGACTTTCAAGGACAAAGAACAAAATTCAAGGCCTTTCAAGGGCTGTGGGGATCCTGGAGAGAGAGAGGGAGGGTTACCTGGGTAGGTGTGCACATACATGCAGGGGCGTGTACAGGATTTGTACCAGGGGGGGGGGTCTAACCATAACCCAAAGTTGCGGGCACGCGAAGGGGGCCCTCCCCCAGAAAAATTTTGAAATTAGACCCCCTTAGATGCGTTTTCTGCGTGAGCAGGGTGGGGGGTCTGGACCCCCTGGGACCCCCCTCCCTGTACACGCCCCTGACATGTACGTATAATGTATGTATATGTCTACATTATTAAAGATATGTATCAGTATATCAGTATGAGTTTCTAGTATAAACAGAGAATACACAAATAATAAACAATTAGGCATAACTGGTGGACAAAAAATGTATATCAACATCAGTAACACGTGATTATGATAACGTATCTGTATTTATTAGTCACATACGTTTCTCGTTTTTGTAGATTATTATTATAAACAAGGCAATGCATAAAATTGCATATATAATGTTATGTCATTTGATTCACGAACGCTTTACAATTAAAAACGCATTCCGTACGAAAGTGTCAGACACAAATTGATTCTTCGCGGCTTTAGAATATGCAACCGCTATTAGAGTTCGCTGTAGGGTACTGGGCGTCCAACTCTTTGAATTGCAATGCACAGTTGTTTCTAGCAGCCATATTCCCAAGTTCGTTGTACAGCAATGCCTGGAATACACAAACAAGGAAACATCAGATCTCTCGCCATAGTTTCCACACCTCTAACCATTTCTTGCAACAATTCTGGATAAGCAGTATATATCACTTTTATGATCCCCAGGCAAGAAATCATGGGACTAAATCTCCAAGCCTAGATTTTGCTTCCTCCAAATATACGGCATTGCCAGTTTTAGGGGGAGGGGGGGGCAAATATAGGATAATTTCGTATCTTTTTATAACATAACCCGAACATAAATGATCATTTAGAATGTCCCCATCACATGGCTGATTGCCTAGACTGACCTGTCTGCCTTCACTAACAGTAGATAAGCACACAAAAGCTAATTAAAGCATCACGTACCAAACAGTATACGGAATCCTTTAGTCTCGTCGAAGCCTCCAGCATCCGGAATCCGGAAATGGAAATGTTTACATTACCGATGCACCTCTGAAGAACTGAAAGTGAGAGAACCAGTCTAGATACACCGCATTACACAACCTATACACAAACAGAGACATTACTAATACACAATACCAATTATGTAGACTCAATTATACATTTGATGCATGGCTTAAATTTCAATACAGGTACATATAACGTACATGTTCATACAAAATAATGAGGTTACATAATAGGCATACATTACATGACCCACTACATGTTGCCTATTTATACACCTATCCTACTTGTGTGTCATGACCACCATCACCACTTTCGCATGATATTTTACGTAACTTTTAGACTTCCCGGTATGTTTACATATACGTTGGCATAATATTTGGTCCTCCCTTATTAAGAACCTAAATGCATAATATGTGTTACTTCATTTTTCGATTTACAACTTTATCGATTTACGTGACAATTTTCATGAGTGTAACTATCCCGGCAAGCGAGAGTTGCCTGTATTGCACTCTCTACCTGATACACGTCTACACCTCTAACACCGGCATGCTCACCCAAGTGCCTGTCTTCTTTCTTGTCCTCAGTGCTCGCCTGTAAAAGGCACTTTGCGTACAAAAGACTAGCTCTCGACTTCTCGAACAAAGAGCCATTCGACAGCACTGTTATCATGACTGATTCGATCAGAGATTTCGCTTGGTTCGGCAAATCCATCTGCAACTGAAATTCATAAAATCAATTAGCTACAACAGAAAATACTTTTAGCATGACGCGTGCATAATATTTGCAATCAAATTCATATACAACTTAAAGAAATCATAGTTAGGGTTGTAATATAAATTTGCATTGCTATCAGGAGGACATAAGAAAAACATCATATCTTACTACCACCAACACCATCAGCACCACCACCGCCACCACCAACTCTACCCTACAAGTAGTATCTATGCCATACCTGCACGCTGGCAATGTGGAGAGTGGCGATCGCTCTCATGTAGTGCAGGTGATGGTCCGAGCAGAGAGCGATGCACGCAGTCAGATGCTGGATGGCGTTGCTGGGGTAGGGAGTCATAGCGTGGTACTGCCCCAGTGCTATCAGCACACTGTAAATACAACAATAAAACAGCAAGGTGAGTGGCCAACTAAGCGAGGTTACTCAACATGTATACGTCGCACGGCAGATGACAGTCGAACCTACGTCAACGGACGTCACTGCAGAACGAACACCTGCCTACGAAGGAAACTTTTGGCATTTCCCCTCGAATGGCAGTTATACAGCGCGAGTCATCGCTATAAAGCATTACCTGTCTATAAAGGTGCCTCTGTAAATTGGCTAATATCCACAGCAATAAACCTCTACAAATACCCTACATAGTGAAGTCCATTAATGCCATGTAGCACATGTACACCTCTTTGTCTCTCGTAAAAAGTGTTGTTACGATGGACCTCGATAACCCTTCTCTGAAGAAAAACCATGTCTTGGCAACCGTCCAATTGGGTGCCCTACAATCTATGATTCAACCAAAATGAAGCAACACTTCGCTTTCCTAAAGAATTAGCACACATTGTCGAATCGGCGGTCTATCGCACCTGGCGTGGAATTCGGTCGAACACTCATTAGTGCTACTGCGCTCTTGCTGAGAACACTTCTCCTTGAGTTCGTGTAGAATCTGGAACGCCTCTGTCAAACAGCAGCTGCTCAGTAGCAGCAACGCTCTCCTGTAGCATCAAGCAAAACATAACCTCATAAATATTAGTCTTAATCTCTGTCTCGAGGACTATATCGAAGACGGAAAGAGACAAAGTTGATCAAATACACAGGTCAACATTGCAAATACATATTTCATGCATGTAATGTAAATGCTGAACAGCGACCGACGATGGAATATTTCGCAGACGGAATGCATGTGTGGACACGACTCAAATCCAGGGGGTGGTCGATGGACGATTTCTGCGTAAGATGTAACTTTCAACACATGCAATACGTTGAACAATTGCTATTTAGCTATGGTTATGGTTTGGGTTAGGGTTAGTATTGGGTTCTGGCTGTGGTTGAGGATGTAACGATGTCGTCACAGAGGACAGCACCTACCGATATCTGCTCTCAAGGTCGCTGACGGCGGCCATGTTGCGAACGGCGAGGTCGGCCGCATCGTAGTCGGACTGATACACGGCCCTGTCAAACAGCATCGCCTGTTCACACTGCATCCACAGCTTCGCGTGCTCCCCGTGTGCGGGAAAGCTGTGCTTCGCGTGACCTATGACTTCTGTCGCAGCGTGGAAGTCGCCCTGCGAAGAACGCGAGCGCTTGTATTGTTCTCGTCGGGGACGGGGAACGAATGCACTGTAGGGCGGTAGCTTTTGAAGCTTATGGTAGCTTTAGGCTTAATGTGGTGTTGAAGTCTATGCTATCCCCCAATGCCAATATAGCTTGTGTATGCCCAGACATGTATATGAGGGTCAGTCAATGAAAACACCCCAAGTGTTCTCTATAGTAAGGTGTTCTCTATATACAGGGCAAAGAATGCACTGTAGGGCGGTAGCTTGCGTGGGATAATGGAGTTGAGGTCTATGCTATCTTAATTATAGCTCGCTGTCACTTCCGTCTATAGTCAGACATGTATATGATGGTCAGTAAGTCAATGAAAACCCCAAAGTGTCCTCTATGGTAAGGTATCTTTCATAGAAGTGGTTGTTTCACTATTAGCTGCCCCTCGATAAAATGCACAAAAAAGTGTCCTTTATAGACAAGTGACTGTTCTATAGAGCTGTCCGCTAACACTGGTTCAACTGTATTGTACACATTATTGTAAGCTCTCCCTATCTATCTCCCTCTTTCTCCACACACAGGCACGCACATGCGTAGATCTATCCATGCAGAGAGCATACCTGATCTGCGTGGTAATTCGCCAGGTTGCAGAGAGCTATGCAGATAGCCTCGCCATTATAGTAGACATTCTGCTTCGCTGGATCGGAGAGATGCAGGTGCAGCAGTGTCTGACTGCAGTGCAACCTCATCGAGCTGTTGCAGCGATAAAAGCCACATCAAGGCACCGCGATTAGATACTGTCACACCAGTATATAACAAAGAATATTATCTGCAATATACGCAAATGCCTGAGCTAACAACTGCATTAACACATTACAGTGAGCAGGTGAAGTGACTCTGTTACTCTATTACATCCATTGTTAACTTTATAGCTCATATATAATTGTTTACTTTATAGCTCATATCAAGGTTATTGAATGACAAGCTTATTGAACCTTTACGGGGCAGTGCAGTGGATCTGCATCCCATAGAAAAAACCTATGCCTCCACTTCTCACACGTCCATTACCATATTATGTTTTTAATCATTTTATTTTTAATAATTAGATATGCAAAGATAGAAAAACAAAAGATGCAAGAAGTAGGTCAAGCCTGGACGTGTACTGTAGACCAGTATTCTTCTGATGAAACTTCACTGGCCAACCGAAACAAGTGCGCCCTCCTGCCTACCGCGTTTGCCGCTCAGAGGCATATATCTTAGGGACACTACTAATACCAGATCTAAAATCTATGAATAAGCTCTTGCATTACTACTGTGTAGATACAGTAATAAAAGATACAGCGTGTACTTTAATGACTTGGCTTATTAACATGTTATCATGGATATGAGGGATGGGAATGGGGACAAATTGTGTTGGTTCAGCTGAAAAATGCCAGGGTCCAAAGGGCGGGGGGGCGGGGGGCGGATCTCGCTGGTGCGCACGGGTTGCCATTCTGTATATCGCCAATAAATAAATTATAACACCAAAATGGAATCACGCAATTTGGTGACAGTAGATGGCGCTATACCCGCTTTGATATTTCTGGTGCGAGGGGCCGTTCGAATCATAATGCGTTATGCTGCCGTTCCGACATGTTTGTAAAACTTTACTCTAATATAGCGTTTTTATCGGGCCAGGGTGGCAGAGGAAATTACGCAATTTTTGCCCATTAAAGATATTGTCAATGAAATTCTTGCTAAAAACGGAACCACAGACAGGTGTGGACACCACAGACTGTTTTGTTATCTGCATGTCATATGATTTATGTATTATAATTGCCAAAACTCTACCTAATTTGGCATATTTTTTTATTAAAGTATCAAAACCCCTAGCCCTTATTCATTCACATTACCAAAAATGAGCAAAATCCGTTGAACTGAACTCGATAATGGCAATTTCCATTTATTTGCCCAAAAAATTTGCCGTGACTCGGAAGTACGACGACTGGCGTGCTCAAAATAGGACCGTTCATATAGGGGCGAGCCATCAGCAGTAACAACGATACCAATTTCAAACATGTGGGTCAAACGGGATTCCTTGAGTTATTTTCGTTGACCGGTAGCCAAATGTTGACGGAAGCGACGCAACAGACGGCAACTGACGGACAGACATACGACGGACGACGACCCATGGCAATAGCTCATCTTGACGATGTCAAGGTGAGCTAACAAATAGTAAAAAAACAGTACCTATTGCCGTAGCGATGCCAAAGTGCAGCCTTTAGTGCATAGCTACTCGCTAACAGGTCCAGCTGTGAATGCTGACAGTTCAAGATGTCACTCTTCACAAGAAAATCAAACACACTGAAATCACAAAATTCATCCAATGTAACAACATATTATCTCATCGATGTGGGCTAGGATAGTTTAATGATGTCCACCAAAGTTCTTTATATAATACACATGCTCACATAGATATATTAATTTAGTTAAAATACTGATTAATAATGTAACATCGATCTATGGAGTAAAAACAAACCATGCTGGTGTCACTTTTGCCAAAGCTTTCTGCCTCGCATATGATTGCACACCCACTGATGCTAGATACTGGAAAAGCAACACGTTTTATCAATACATGTACAATTGGTCCTTCTAAAGAAACATAGACAAGCTTCAAACTTAATTTCTCAAACCATGTTTCTGACAAGTTTCCCCTAATTCAGTCTTAACATTCTTTCAAATGAAAATTTTCTAAATTCGTACCCTGACATCTTCTACAAATCAATAGACAAATGATTACTCTCATATATCCTATTAACATATTCATCCAACCTTTGATGCGACTGCTTTACAATAATCTCTGCTTTACGAAACAGAGAACTTTGATATGCTTACAGACAAGTTCAGCTCTCCAGCCTTGGTGATGGAACGCTCAAGCAGCTCATGGGTGGTGCCACCAGTCGAGTCTTGAATTCGGTACAGCCAGCCCAACGCGTGCTGCAGGCAGACGTTATCATTGGTCTCCTGCGCCATTCGGATGGCTTCGTTGACTGCTGCTAACGCCTCCTCCCTGTGCGGAAGGATGCAGCGAAGGAATCACAGACCGTCACAATTAAAATGTGCAGTTAAACATCTTAGTCGTGACAACATCTGCTATGCAATCATGTTCATATTATATTATAATTGTTATATTATTATACATACGTGCATACAATTTAATTTGACATTAACAGCCATTACACAGTCACACCATTAATGTATCAAACTTTATATAAGGATTCCTCAAGGAAAACCTCAAGTGTTCATTATAGACAGTCTGTCTGTAGACATTATCTGTCAGATTTTTGACATGTCTGTCTAGAAATAGTTTCAATACAACTGCCACTAAAGGGAAATGCCAAATTTACTCCTTCCATGCATTTCACTTGTTGTAAATACTGAAGATATCCTTTCATGCATTTCATTTGTTGTAAATGCTAAAGATATCCTTTCATGCATTTCACTTGTTTTTAATGCTAGAGATATCCATCCGCGCATTTCACTTGTTGTAAATACTGAAGATATCCTTTCATGCATTTCATTTGTTGTAAATGCTAAAGATATCCTTTCATGCATTTCATTTGTTGTAAATGCTAAAGATATCCTTTCATGCATTTCATTTGTTGTAAATGCTAAAGATATCCTTTCATGCATTTCACTTGTTTTTAATGCTAGAGATATCCATCCGCGCATTTCACTTGTTGTAAATACTGAAGATATCCTTTCATGCATTTCATTTGTTGTAAATGCTAAAGATATCCTTTCATGCATTTCACTTGTTTTTAATGCTAGAGATATCCATCCGCGCATTTCACTTGTTGTAAACACGTGCGAGAGTCGTACTTGTGTGCGAATCTGTAGTGGAGACCAGCGAGGTTGAGGGCGGCGTAGCGACAGCTGCGTCCGATGTCGTCTGCGTTCGTCTTGTTGTCGAGGCCGCTCAGCAGGCAGCGATCGAAGTAATGATACATACTGTCGATGACTCTGCAGTAGTCCTTCAGCCTCAAGCTGTTCAGATAGCTCAGATAGTGCTGCAGATAAAAAATATACACACAGGTGTGTTGAATTAGAATGTTCATCATGGCAACACAAGCGTTGCACACGGTATGATTGGAAAAATTGGTAGGGCACTGATTAAGATTAGGATTAAAGACTGACTAAATTCAGAACACTTTTTTACTTCTTATTTGGGATAAAGATGGATAGATACTCGACATGAAAACACCATGGAAGCAAACCAGGAAGGGCAGCCATATATATATAATATGTATATTTATACTATAATATTACCAGGAGTATCATAATATAGACTCATCTGAATCCTGATAAAGTCTATATTGTGACACACCTGATATTACCATAGCAGGTATTATTTATACTAGTGCACCTACAGCTTCGGCTAGGTTCGGATGACTGTGCAGCAGTTGGCCTATCATGTCCTGCAGTTTCTTGGGGCTTAGAGCGTTCTTATCGTTGCGCTGCAGCAGTGTCGTTTGTTGCGCCAGCACGTACTCAGCCTGCTTCTGTGTGTAGATGCCCAGAGCTTCCTCAAACCTGCCCACACCGCAATACAAGTCAATGCTATGCATCGGTCGTGCAACACGTGCGGAGATACTATAGTTTGATATTGATGAAATTTAGATGGGGTTTCATGAAAAATATAGGAAAATATGAAAGTCAAAAATTATAAGAAACACTAGTACCCTATATATATATGTATATATGTATATATATATATATATATATATATATATGTATATATATGTGTGTGTTGGTGTAC